TCTCAAAGTGGGTTCCTCGTCATCGAATTTGAATTCATATGTGCATATGTTTATGTAAACATTTGCCACAAATTTGAAAAATAAAAATACTGCTCAGGTCTAGGCATTTGCAAAAGGAAGTTTTTCTCTTATAATATTATAAAAAGAATAGATTATGCCTCAATATCACCTTTTAATTTCGAATTTTACCTTCGATTAAAAGAAATATGTAATTTCTTTATAAACTTTAAGGCCTACAAATACCAGTAGCACAAATTTTAATTTAGTCTTCTAGAATCCCTAAATTAAGAAGACATTTTTGGATGTAGCAAAAGTTCAGCCTAATTAGCAATGTTTTATAGCTTAAAATATTCATAATATATTTTTAAACTTAAAAAGATGAAAAATATCAAAATTTAACACCATTTTATTACTCATGAGGGTTAGCAAAACAAGCATCACAATGAAACTGAAATGGTTGAGTAGGCATATTACACCTTGATGTAATCAGGTCTTGATAGTGTTCATTTGATTTTATTATTTCCTCTAGTTTTAAAAATGCAAAGTTTGAATTCTCCTATAATGCTTGGTGGATTACTTGAGCATCACATTTTAGTATTTCACAAAAAACAACTGAAGATGAAAAAAAAGTAATGTAGAACCATCTATTGGTTTGTATATATGAGACTGAAGGGCAAATATGATTGTTTTGATTCTCCTCCAAGTATTCCTTACAACCAAACATTTCATATAATACTTCTAATGCAGACAAAACTATAATATAGATTGATAAAGGGCAGGAACTATTAAAAAAAATGTTCCAACATTTATTGTTAATTTGTCTAGAGCATTTTTTATTATAAAATAGAAATTCAAACCTACAAACCTCCATTATATCTGCAATCTGTTTCCACTGATCTTTTGTTGGATCTATTCCTGTTGGATTGTGAGCACAAGCATGCAAGATGATAACTGAATCTTCTGGGGCATTCTGCAAAATAAGTTATTTTTAAACAAGATTTGAGTCTTCTGCAAAACAAAGTACAAAACTGCAAAGAAAGTTTTTTTCAAGAACCTACAGAAAAATTTGTACAGATTTCTAAAATTGTATACGAGCTCTGAAGTACATAGTTTCTAATCTATAAAAAATAAATATTTTACACAGATCTAATATACTTTAAAAAGTTACTTATACTTTCCATATTTTAATGATAATATTTAATCATAATCTATAGCTATACAGTGATTACTAAAAACCATAAAGATTTATCAGTTAATAATCACAAATTGCCAAGTTATCAACAAGATAAGTCCTTTTTAGTAAACAAATGTTTCCTGAAATCCCTGTGATCACATTGCTTTTGGTTCCCAGAAAGTTAAGGGAAAATTAACCAGTCAAATCATCCCACTATTTCTGCTCCCTGGATATGAAATTATTTACATTATTTATTTCCTTTAAGGTAATTTCTGAGAAAACTGTGTTACTGTGATGTACCACTAGCAAAGTCCGAGTGTTGCTTATACAATTATATTGTAAGTAGTATAAGAGAAAGTTTAAATGAAATCAGTCATGTGTGCACAAAATTAATTATCAGCTCATTTCATAAAATCTGGATTTTGTACACTGAGAGTAACATGTTATTTATTCATCTACATTTTTTAAACACCACATTAAAAGTAAAATTTTAATTTAAGCTGATTTACATCAAAGTTAATCAAACAACACAAAAAATATAACAGACTAACAGAAAAAGTAGGTTTCATTTCATGTTTTTTATATTATTGTGGTACAAACTGTGCTGTCATTTTGATACAGCACAAAAGTACACGAACATTATCCAGTGAGCATCTCACTAAATCCTTCGAAAAAGGAAAGCACAGAAATACCTTACACTTTATCAATCAATTATTTTGAACATTTATTAAAAATACGAGTTGAAAAACATTGTTTGTTTTGAATTTCGCACAAAGTTATACGAGGTCTATCTGCACTAGCCGTCTCTAATTTAGAGGGAAGGCAGCTTGTCATCACCACCCACCGCCAACTCTTTTAACAACGAATAGTGGGATTGAGCATCACATTATAATGCCCCATGGCTGAAAGGGCGAGCATATTTGGTGGGATGGGGATTTAAACCTGCACCCCGCAGATTGCAAGTCGAGCTCCCTAACCACCTGGCCATTCCGGCCAGGTTGAAAAAGAAATTTCAGAATTGGGTCCATATAACTTCTTAGGGTAACCTGCTACTAAAGCCATTTTTACACTTGAAAAATTGGTTAATTGATGATTGAAATAAACACCTACAAAATGATAATTGATATATCATTTAAAAAATTCAAATTTAAAATCTGAAAAAAAAGAGCATAACTGTTAGATATGCTGCTAGAAATAACAGAACATTAAAAGGGGGTAGATACAAATTGAGTAATGCCTACACAAGCTGTGAGGTTGATTACAAGATTACAGGCTCCTTCAGGTCAAAATGGTTAGGAAGACTTGATGAGCTCTTATGTTTGAGCTGGGTATGTGAGGATGATAGCAAGATAATGCAATGTCACACTGATGTGTACAAACAATATTACACACCCATGTTTACAGTTATGTGACTATATGAGAAATGAAAAAAAAACACTTGCTCAATGTAACATTAATGTGATAAGATTCAAATTAAAAATTAGATTAAGTATTTTAGTCTTTTTGCATCCATGAGGCACAGCATATTTTCATGACAGAAGAATATATCTTTTTTTATATATATTTAACAATAACTGGCAGCATTTGTTTCTTTTAACACAAAAAGCTTCACAACTGGCTATATGTCCTGTGACCAACAGAGGAATCTTACATGCTAATGTTTTAAACCCTTGAGCTTACTATTGTGCTACCAGGGTATTGGGGCAAACTGGATTTTTTTTTTTTTTATTAAATCAAAAACAAACCATGTTATCTGGTTGTAGTTAGAGATCCTTGCATTACTTTTTCATATTAACATAACTGGCCACCTACATTTTTAAAATGTGTAAAGAACATACCTTCAAGTCTTCTAGCATTCCATCTAAATCCAATTTTCTGTTTGAAGCATCCCAATATCGGTATAACTTGCCATCTTGAAAACCAGCATTCTTAAACACAAGTCTGTGATTGGCTAAGAAAGACCAATGTACAGAAACAAATTATTTTGCATTAATCTTAATGTGTAACAACAAAATAATATACTTACTACAGAATTTTTTCATAAAGTAAATGGGCCAATTGTGAATAACCCTAAAAACCCATGTTTTGTGCCATACAGGTGTACAACATATTACATGAGCTTATAGATATGTAACGAAATGGTTATTATATCAATGTTTGTTTAGATTAAAGTTATATTTAGAAACATAAATGGCTTATACTGTTAAATATATATTGCGAAACTCCCACCTTTTCTCCAAAGTTGTAGAAGATTCTCAAGAGTAAGAATCAACAATGTGCGTGTGTGTATATAAACATTTAAATAGTATTGTTACGTAATCTGAATTTTCTAGAAAACCTTCCCATGGCTATAAATATAACCAACGCAACGCACCAGAGAGAGTATCTATTAGTAGTTTGCTATAGTCACTGTGCTACAAACTTTGGAAACTATTACAAAGTTCGAACACTACAATAATTTAACGTCAGTGGATTATCATCGGACGTTAGTATCTTTATGAAAAAGTTATATAACATGGAAAACTCAGCACGCGTGACTGGTGAATAACGAATGACAAAGCTAGCTAGCTTCCCATTAAGTGATTTATATGTATGTCAATTCGTAAGCAACTCACTCATCATGCACATACCTAAGACCACCTTGTTAGCCATTTGCTGGTGAAGTGCTAATCAAATTTTCCCAATTGCTAAGCAAAGTTATACGGATTAGCTATTGCTTCTATGAAGATCTTTGAAATAAATTATCCTCTGTAGTACCTTCCCCAATATTAACATAATTCAAAAGTGGATAAGAAGATGAGAAATCAATAAACTGCAAATCAGCATATTTGGTTATCCACATATATTTCATATGATTCTTTTAATAAAGCAAAAATTTCAATTTCAATTAAAAAATCTAAACTGTGAAATTATTGAAACTATTTTTCAGTCACTAATTTGTCTTACATTTTTCCATCTTTAGTTTTTGACTGACTAAAATATTCTTAATCTCACAAATCATCATTCTCCAACAGCCAATGAAATGCTGGAAGGGATTTATGTTTTAATGGGTACAATTCAAAGAACATGACAGCATTTTACTATACCTGAGAGTTTAAGTCTATTAACCTTCTTTTAACACTGTCAGTCCACTGGGTCTACTCCATTTCATGCTAAGCTTATGGTAATATTCACTATAATTCTGTTTGTTTTTTGAATTTTGCACAAAGCTACACAAGGGCTATCTACACTAGCCATCCCTAATTTAGTAGTGAAAGACTAGAAGGAAAGCAGCTAGTCATAACCACCAACCACCAGCTTTTGGGCTACTCTTTTACCAATGAATAGTGGGATTGACACTCACATTATAATGTCCCCATGGTTGAAAGGGTAGCATGTTTGGTTGACCTCTTTAACTACCTAGCCATGCCCCTATAATTCTGAGTATACTATGTGTATTTTCACAAACTTTGACAAGCTTTTAGTAAGCATTACAAGTCTGTTGTTTATATGAAAAGAAAATTTAATACAATATTTCTACTAAAAATTTGTCTATGAATATATAAAACCTTTACTGAATCAGCAAGTGAAAAATGAATTAAGACAAGAATGAAAATACTCATCTTGCAATTTTCATATTTTATTTGCATAATCTTTAGTCTCCTAAATTAATATCAAGTACTTTAGTAATTTGTATTTTCTCTACCCTAACACTAATTGTAGTTGAATCAATGTAAAGTACAACAAAACACTGAAAAATATGTAATCCTAACAGCCTCAGCTATCCAACCTTTTCACATACACTTACTTTTAATTCTATTACTTTACAATGCCCTTGAGACCCTATCTATGTATATGACAGTGACAGAAAGTAATATACACAACTGATAGTTACATTCACATGATGCAGTTAGCTTAAGTTGGTCTTCCAAAATGTTTTTTTTGTAACCAAACAAGTTTCTAATTTTTACATTTTAGTTACTTGTGTTAAAAAATATATATAACAATATAATTAAAAAAAAACAACTTTGGGTTTACATTAAAATTGAATCTAATTCGGTAACTTGTATTTGAAAATGTACTTCCTAAGCACTACTTTTGTCATACTATATTGGTTCTCCATTAATGTTCCATTCAAATATACATTTCAGAACACACCCTCAAAATTACATCAGGCATTAGAACAGAATATCCAAAGACTACTATAATTCAACTGCCTTTTTAACTAATCTCTAAACACGTTAAATTTCATTAGCTGCTCAAAGCAGAAAACACTGAAACTAAGAATCAATACTTTATTATTGGTGTATTTATATCCAATAGAAAAGTATTGTTGCGTCAGCGAGGTCACGTGACTAGTATCACGCCACTTCTGTCTCGAACCTTCCTGAGATTACTAGATTGGCAGTAGTCGGGTATATATAAGATGGTGACAACATGACGGGACAATGTGTAGCTAGTGAGTAATTGATCTGCAGTCAGGGAGTATTGTTGAAGTTAACGTTCATTGTTATAGCATTTGTTTTAGCGCGAATGTTGAAATTAAGTGTATCATAAAGTTATATTCAGAAAGAATAAACCAGTTTTATTTAAGGAAGGACTTGTGTCGCTAAAGTTTAGTTGGAAAGAATTTACGGAAAAATGAATTAACAAACGGAGACTTAACAAATTGGTGTCAGAGAGTGGGATAAAAAAAAA